GGAGGGGGGTGGGGCCGGGCCAAAGGCCTTGTGAGTGCCGCCGGGCGACGTGCATTGATGGGGAAGCTTCTGGAGGAGCAGGGGTGGGGGGCGGGGGGTGGGAAAGGCAAATGCAGATATATATTACAGACGAATAATCTAGATCCCACGAGCAGCAGCCTATGGCACCCACTGGGCGTGGGCGGCAGGGAAAAGGGAGCAAGGCCTTGTCTGCGGACTGCTGGGGTCACCCACGGGCTCCCTGCTCCCCCAGTTTTTTTTCTCTCTTTGTTAACAAATGTGTCTGAGTCTTGGAAAACACCCCAACCCCGGAAATGTGTGGGAAAAAGAAAACAAAAACTTTCCAAATTCCAACGGTCCTGTGCAATTTGTTCTGGGTGGGTGCTGTTACGACCCTGGTGCTGGCTATGGTCTAGGGTTTGGACCCGGATTGGGACTCGTGAGAGATGGTAAGTCACCCCCAAGGTTTTGAGCTGAGCGTGAATCTCAGCTGCTGGGGTGGCTTATCTTTGTTTCAGTCCTTGCTGGGCTGAGGCTGGGCACCAAAAACTGTCCACAGTCTGGGAGCCATTGGCTGGTCTCTGGCCCTGGATCTGCCCACTGAAGCTTCTTGGGAAGGAAGACAAAACCCCAGAAGCATTGTGTTGCCCCCTGGTGGCTGAAAAGGGTCCACACATCCGGGGCCAAGTGTACCAGGCACTGACCAGGGGGCAGAGGTTGCTGCCTAATCCTTACAATAGCCCTAGGGGGCGGGGGTGGGTGGGACGTGGTGTGATCGCGTGTGTTCTCAGCGGTTGGTCCAAGGTCTCAAGGTGAATCCATACCTGAGTGCAAATTGCCTCTAGTTCTGCCCAACTCTGGGGCCTCTGGTCCTTCCCCTGCTCCTCCAGCGATTTGCACTCTGGGTACCTCCCCCCAACACCCCTTGAAGTCCATTCTGGCTGACATGGGCAGCTGCTCCGGCTGGTAGCGGAAGCTGGGTTGGCCACCTCATCCAAGTGCTTGTCTCTTCCTAGAGACCCTAGCAGGTCCACGGTCCCAGACATGTTAAGAGTTGGGTCTGGGGCCATCAGGGGGTGTTGGAGGTTAAGATGCTGGATCCCATATAGTCACTTTGGTGGTTCGAGTCCTGGACCTAGTGGCTTGAGAATCAGAAGCAGGTGCATGTGTGTGCATGCCCAAAATCCCACGTGGAGAGTGAAGGAGAAGAGATTGCGTTGTGACCCTCCCCCCTGGGGAGTACTTTCTCACTTTCTCTCTGTCTCTCTCTGATGAGCACACACACTATAGCAAAAAAAAAAAAAAAAAAAAAAAAAGGTCAGCTCTGTATCGTTTGTCAGTCTCAAGGAACAGACACTCGAGATTTGGATTGTACTTGAGGGCCCACTCATGGCATCCTCTGGAGGAGCGTGTAGGAGGTCTGAATCTTGAGGGTGGCAGTGGTGGATCGTCACTCCACTTGGCGCATGAGATGGGACTCAGCCACACTTCTATAACTGAGGGCTTGTCCCTTGTTTTTGAGAGGTTTTTGCTATAGGGCGCGTGTGCTCGCCAGAAAGACAGAGACAGAGAGACAGAAAGCACTCCCATGGGGAGATGGCCATGCCGCAATCCCTTCTCCTCCATTCTCCTCTCGGGATCTTGGGTACGCATGCACATGTGCCCGGCATGAGTTTAAGCCACCGGGTCTGGGACTTGAACTGCGATCTGCTACATGGGAGTCCAGCGACATAGCCATTACGTCAACAGCTGGTCCCAAGGGCTCATCCCTTGATAGACTTACTTCTCTGCCTTCTGCTGTCACTCGGGCTTCCCCTTCCTGGCTCTCTTCCTTGTGTCCTGGACTTCCCATCCCCCCTCACTGCCCAATTCTGCACTGTGGTCTTCTATCTGCAAGCAACTCTGGCCAGCTCATTTCTGTGGCTGTTTCCAGTTTAAAAGCCTGTTCTGGGGACCAGCAGTTAGCGTAATGGCTATGTCGCTGGACTCCCTTGTAGTCGACTGCGGTTCGCATCCCGGACCCGGTGGCTTAAAACTCACACTGGGCACTTATGCGTGCATGCCCAAGATCCCGAGAGGAGAATGGAGGAGAAAGGATTGTGGCATGACCATCCCCCCTGGGGGGTGATTTCTCGCTTTCTGTCTCTCTCTCTCTGTCTTTCTGGCGAGCGCACGCGCCCTATAGCAAAAACCTCTCAAAAAAAAAAAAAAAAAAAGCCTGTTCTGTTCTGTTCTGTCTTTAGGCTGGACACCGCAATGCTTGCAGGTGCCACCCCCACCCCAGCAGGGGACTGACCCTTCATGGGAGTGGCAGTATGGGCCTGAGCAGCCCCTACCTGTCTCTGGTGCCCCAAACAGCCGCATCTCCCACTCCCATTCCTTCTCCATCTCAGAGGGAAGTTTTTGTCTAGGGACACCCCTTCCCCCCCACCATTGGATGTGCCCTAGGACCTGTGGAGAGGCTTCTCCCAAGTCCTATCAAAGGTGGAAGTGCAGGGCTCCCTCCTTAAGCCCTAGGTCTGGATTTCCATGCCTTCTTGAACCAGTCCTCAGGGGTGAGGCTCGGCCCTGCTGGTCCCCCCACTGCTCAGTCTTGGAGTCCTCAGGCAGCATCACCACCTGGGATAGGCCTGACTTGGGCAGGTGTCCCACGCATGGAATGGCCTCATGCATGGGGACCTCTGCAGCTGTTCTCCCAAGGGACAGAGGCTTATCTTGGGCCCCTCTTCCCTCCTCATCACTGGCAAGGAGAGAACCAAGGCAGGCAGGAGTTCCTTGGTGTCTAGGAGTGAAGGAACATCTCACTCTAGAAATTTCTAGAACCAGCCCAAATGAGGTAGGGAAGTCAACTGAGGTGGGGGGGGTGGTGCAGAAAGAGAGACGATTCAGGACTTAGATGGATGGACCTCAGTCCTGCTGTGGCCATATGACTGTGGGACTTAGTGTTTCTGTCTCTACATAAGAAGGCCGAGAGCCCCTGATACTCCAGGGTGCTGTCGTTAGAGGAGAGACTCGGATTCAGCCATATGTAAGAGGAGGTGACCTTAGTCTCTGCATCCCATGTCACACTTGGCACCTGGGCCTCCGCTGGGCTCCTCGGGGCTGGCTGGCCTGGCAGCGATTCCCGAGGGAGTCCCAAAGAGCGTCTGGGAATGGCTGAAGTTCCAGGGACCCTGGCTCCTTGACAGTGGTCCTCACAGGTGTGTCTCAGGAGAGTCTACCCCAGGGGTACTAAGGACAGGGATCTGGTGAAGAAACTCACAGTGGAGTCTGGTTGATGCCATTTGATCTTAAAGACCTGCCCTGGGTGTGCAAGCCCCTGGGGGAGGGAACCTCAGCCCAGCCAGTACCAGGGCC